AAGCTAAAGAGGATACTGCAGAGCGTACTTTGGAAAAGATGGTGCAAGTTTTTTGCTGATGATGGATGTGGTTCGTATTCGAAAAATAAGTCGAACCGTGAACCATTAAGGCAACAATTTTCACCTGCCACATTATAAGAAGGCCTTGTTAGAAAATTTAACGTCTGCAATTGAATAGATTGAACATTCAAATTTGATATTTTCCTATAAAGAACAAAGCAACATTTTGTAGTCTTTCCAATCAAAAACTCATTATCGAGTTTCTTTTCTAGTTGTGACCCAAATTTTTTCGACAACAAAAAGAAACATGACAATCCTGACATCAATAATCATTGAATCATGACATTTTTTTAAGTACCATAATTGAAATTTTCCCATCCAAGGGCATTTAAATTCTGAAAAAGATGTATATAAAGTTAAGTTCAACAAAATGGATGAAAATGCAGATATGCATGAGAGTAAAAAATGGAAGCTTAGCTAGTAGGTAGTCCATTTCTTGAATTGCTAGACAATTTACTAAATAATCAAAAAGTAGCAAGAATTTCCTATCTGGATTGGAAGCCAAACAGAAGGAAAATAAGAAAAGAGAAAGAAACATGATGTGCTTTGCATTTAGAGAACCTGTTATTGAACTTAGAACATTGATGCAGTTAACGAGCCGATCACAAAGATCATCTAAAAGGGCTGTTCCCCAATCGCTGAAGTAGGGAACAAAAGATAGACATTAGTGTTATGAATTATACTGAAGCTAAAAAATGCAACCAATTGCAAAATCAAAATTGGACATAGCATAGGATGACAACCTTTTAAAGTTGAGTTCATGAAATCCCGCGGCAAGAATTATCTGCCGAGAAAAATATAGGAACAAGCTTATTACCAGTAATAATACATTTAACAATGCTAATTACACAATAACAAGCCAGGAATACCGTATCAAGATGTGTGTCAACCATTAGACGTACTAATGGAGCAGTGATATGCTCCAAGTACGATATGGGACTTAAAAGAGCAGCTGCTTCAACTTTCTTGGCTATGTCTGGCTGGGTAAGAGCAGCAAAAGACATAATTGTTCCCTGCGAAAAAAGACAAAAGATGGCACAAAAGCAACGATAAAAGATTTCAGATAAAGAATGTTAAGAATCACGACTCTCCACAATGGTATGATACTATCCACTTTGAGCATAAGCTCTCGTTGCTTTGCTTTGGGCTTCCCCAAATGGCCTCATACCAATGGAGACGTATTCCTCACTATAAACCCATGATCATTCCCTAAATTAGCTCAACTTGGGACTCCCTCCCAACAATCCTCAACAAAGAATCTTATAAAAGAGGGTATATGAGACCTGTGAGTGCCCAACAACATAAATTTTCCTCTTTGTCAATGGATTTATGTAGTCAATCATGCCTGCAAGATCATACAAAGCCAACTCTTCCCAACTCCAATCCCAAAACTCCTACAATCAGAATATGCTAGAGTCAAAGACATAGCCAGAAACTAAACATGTTCAACTTATGTTAAAATTACTGTCAATATAGTGCAGAGGTTCGACACAAAATAGGTTTTAGCAAATGAACACAGTTAGCATGAAACAAATAGTTCTTAAATATAATCTGTCATGTAACTGCAAAACTCCGAAAAAACTCACTCAAATTTGTTTGAACCTCCAAAATTAACTGTATGACACTCTCCACCTCAACACATAGATCAACACATTTAGCATGGATGAGCAGCAGCATGTTTGTATGTTATATAACTTTCTAGATACATCCAATATACACATAATACAATGAAGAAATTTTCTATTAATACATTCTAACTCTGCATTTAATTAGCATCTTACCCACCTTAGGCATATTATAATCAAGTAATCTATAAGTACCTTCTCATCCTCTGATAGGGATGTATGCCCGTGACTCCACCGAGTTCCACGCACATTTCCTATCCACACATCAAATCCATTATCTGCAAGGATAAATCCTAAAGATTCTGTTGCAGAATTCAAGAACCATGCATCGCCACCCTGCACGAGCACCAGTTCAGGCAATGAAAGAAATAAAAAGCTAGTAGTTGGAACTCCTATCTGTAAGAATGATCCCAGTCTACAGATTATTCAAAATTCACAATCCATGTTTCAAAATGCTTTGAAATGTGCAGCAAACAGAAGGGAGAAGAATAACAAGGAAAAAAAAGAAAAACAAAGATACAGAGAAAGACAGAAGTATAAGATACTTTCTTGGCTAAAAATTTTCCTGGAGCCTTTATGTCATTCATCTTACGATACCATTCTTTAAGCGAACTCGAAGGCATGTTTGAACAATTGGACTGTAGAAGTTTAAGGTTAATACTGACCTAAAAGAAAACCATAATTACTTTTTCTTGAAAACTAATCATCTAACTGGAATTTGTAGAAATGATGCAGTTGAAAATTTCAAAGAAACGAGATAAGTCTCAATCGTATAATCAAAATATCAGGCAACCTTGAAAACTTTCGAACTATCGCTGATAGGGTTGAACCATAAAGAGTAAAGTAATTTTACAAATACAGTTGCAAAACTGTAGGAAGACTCACCATGAACAGTCCATGGAGTAGCAAAATTGGAGGGCCCTTTTGCTTTTCCAAATCTCCATCGCATGAAGATACACGTTGAAGACCCAATAAAAATCCATCCTTCGTTTGTATCTAAGAAATTTATAACAAAATCACGTCCGTCAGTAATGCACAACCGTAATTAAGTACGCCACTAAAACCACAATTCATCATCCCGGTCTGCAATAATGAATAGCATTCCTCAGAATTCAAGAGAGTGATAAAAAGAAGATACTATTTAAAGATACATATGTATACGCTGTCTTGAACATGATTCTCCGGTATGATATTATCCACTTTGAGCATAAGTTCCCATGGTTTTGCTTTGGTCTTCCCCAAAAGGCCTCATACCAAGTATTTCTTGATTATAAACTCATGATCGTTCACTTTCATCATCCAATATATGCTACAAATGCTTGAGCCTCCGAATAGCTAATGAAAATTTGATAAAATCAAGCCAATACGGTCATTTTCCTTCGCGTATTATCTCTGTACTCATACTTTCCATCATGAACACAAAGAAGAATACAAACGCATCGGACTATCCAGAAACTCGACAGAAACAAATCAAACCAGAACGGACATCGAATCTAAGAATTAAATTAAAAATCATTCCATCATTCGCACCTCAGGAGAGAGAGAGAGAGAAAAAAAAACTCTCAAACAAGAAGCATTAGAGCCAATTAGTTGACTAAATCCACTCCAGTTTCACCAGTCAAAACAGAGCAATGAACACTAACATCCACAAACAATTCCTAATCCACTACTTCCACTAGCCAATCAACCAAAAAATCAGAACCGAGATGAGAGAAGCACAGTACCTGATGCTCCGCGCAAGGATAGCCAGCAGGTTGAACAAGTTGAGAGCACAAGGACTTCTGGTCAGACAGAGCGCGAGGGAGAATCGAGTACTCAAGGGAACGATAAGAGGAATCATTGGCAGAATGGAGAGCAAAGAAGCAAAGAAGAAATACCATAGCCATCAATGGCTTCGCCATCTTCAGGAACAAGATTGACCATCAAAGTAACAGCGAGCCAAATTAGACGCGAACTTGTAAGACTGGCCGTTCATTATATATATATATATATATTATCTGGGGAAAGAGGAAACAAGAAGATACCCTTCCTTCCACACATCGAGTCCGTTGGTGGTTGCGCCCACGCGCTCACGCGCAACTGGAAGCGCGTGTAGGTTATTCCTTGCTTGAGAAGGGCACGATTTTAATTTGGAAAAAACGTGTTTCCTAATCAAAAATCTCTTTAGGAATTAAAAAAAAAACATTACAGCAGAAAATCCAAATTTATATCCATTAATGGAACAAATTTTGGAAGGAACATAAATTATTATTTGAGCCATAAATTGATATTTTTTTGGGAAATAATAATTTAATTTAGATAATTTAAAGCCAATTTTAAATTAAATAATAATCTTATTGGATAATATCAAGCCAATATTAAACAAAATAATAATTCTATGGGCCAATATTAAACAAAATAAGAACTCTAGGGGCCAATATGAGTAATTTTGAGCCAACATTAAATAAAATAATAATTTTATGGGGTGATTTTGAGCCAATATTAAATAAAATAATAATTTCATGGGGGTAATTTTAAACCAAACCAATTTTAAATAAAATAAGTAGGATGATTTTGAGCTAAATTTGAATAAATTAAGTAAAAATAACTAATATTGTACGGCAAATCAATTATAGGTATTCTACCTGATTTAACAACAACTACCCAATATTCGGAAATCCTTTTCCTAAACCCATACTCAACATTCGGATCAATCGCTTATTCTTCCGTCTCTCATATGGGTTTCATGGATTTATTGTTCGAACAAGTTACCTTATTGGTCTGGAAATATACATATCCGTATATTTCCCTTCTTTGATTTAGAACTAATTTCGAATAAAATAAGTAAAAATAATTATAAATCTTTATTAATATATATATATACGTAATTTAATAAAATTAATGTTTTTTTATTATAAGAATAATAAAAAAAAAATTATATATAATTTTTATATATATTAATAAAAAATTTAGTTATTTTTACTTATTTTATTCAAAATCATCCCCTCTCTCTCTCTGTATGTATAAATGATTTTTATTTAGAAATTAATATTCTCGGGATAAAAATACATTAGATCCAAGTGATTTCAACCTAATTTTAAATAAAATGAGTAATTTTTTTTTAAAGTATCTCTAAAATTAATATTCTCATAATAAAAAAAAAACTATATATATATATATATATATATGGATGATCTTTATCTAAAAATTAATATTAAAAATACATTAATTTTATTAAATTTAATGGGGTGGGTTTGACCCAATTTTAACTAAAATAATAATTTTATGTCGAACTAATTTTAAATACAAATTATAAAGTGAAAATAGCTATAAATTTTTATTAAATCATATATATATATTCCAAAATTATTATTCTCATAAAAATTTCATCCAAAGCATAAACCTATTAAATAAGATCCTTCAACATCCGTCTCATTATTTTAGACTTCAGCTCTGGAAGCCTTCAGATCCTCGCCGCCGGACATGCTCCCTTCCTCGATCTTCACCACCTTCGCCTCCTTCTTCTCCTCCGGCAGCTTCGGCACCGTCACCTTCAGCACCCCGTTCTCCAAGTGGGCTTTGATCCCTTCCATGTTGGCGTTCCCCGGCAGCCTGAACTGCCTCCAGAACCTCCCCGACGAACTCCTCTCTGCCCGGTGCCATCTCTCCCCTTCCACCTCTCGCTCTCCCTTCATCTCTCCGCTGATCCTCAGCACGCTGTTCTCCTCCACCTCGATCTTCAAATCCTCCTTCTTCACGCCGGGAATGTCCATCCATATCACGTGCTCCCCGCTTGTCTCCTTCCAGTCTGTGCGTGCTATTGCCACTGTGTCCACCGCTGATCTTGAAACGCCTAGGGGACTCTGCTCTAGGATTCTGAATGGATCCTCCGAGAACCCGCCTGTGACACCCACCCGAATAATTCTAATAAGGATTAAGGAATCACACATAAAAGCTTATGCTCGACAATATCAATTTTTAAGATCATATCAAAGCCATGTCAACCATGACAATATCAATTTTATTATTTTCTCTTCTAATATTTTTCTATTAGAACTTCCCCGTTCTTTCTATCAAAGATTAATGTGAATCGTGCTTTAATGAGCTCTAATTTGTAAAGTTAAGCAACCCTACTTTCTAGATTCAAGAGTTAGAACGCCACAAAAAAAGAGTACTGATTAAGGAGAGACCATTCAAGAACATTACAGACAAAATGTAACTTGAGAGCTCCAAAAAAAGAAGTCTGAGCCTCAATTAAGAGGAGACTATTCGGAGGATCTAAAGTTTTTTTTGTTGCTAAATTACGAGTTTCAAGGTCTAATGGATCAAGTACGTCCTCTAAAAACATATAAATTTTACCTTTAAATTATTGAAAATGAGTCCCACTCTAACTAATTAGAGAAAATGAGTACGAAATAAAAAAGACAATATCAATACGAAATCAAAAAGACAATATCATATGGTCGTGATTCCTGACATACTCAGATTTGAGGTCTATATTAAGTTACCTGGTTGCATGATGTCCCATATGGAGCGGTAGGGCATGAGAGCGTGGGCGGCATGTTGGTGGGTGACAAACAGGAACACTGCGAGTGGAAGAAAGATGCAAACCATGCTTCGGTGTAGCCCCGTACTCATCGCCGTCTTCTCAAATACAAAGAACAGAAAGCTTTGTTGATTGCAGTTCGAATGGTGTAGATTAGGGGGCGGAGGAGGCTTTTATAGGACGGCGACGGCGACGTATGAGGCGCCATTTGTGGATAAACTGTTCGTTTCTGACTGCTTCCACACCCATGTAGATGCCTCTAGACCAAACCACCGCTCTCTAGAAGTTTGCAGAATGATCTCAACACGTGGCACGTGGCCTACGTTCTTCCTTTTTTTTTTTTCTTTGTAAAATATAAATTAACAAAAATACTCATTTTTAACTTTAAACAAATTTGAAAATATTTTATTTTATTTTAAAAACCATCTGAAATTTTTAAATAAATTTTAAAAATACTCTTCTAACTTTATCGTTATCAATAGGTTTTAAAAAAATAATCTTAATGTTTCAAAATTAACCTTAAAAAATTTTTAGACAATTTATGCGATGTTGATAGATGATTTTCGTCTATATATTAACCGTATAAATTTCTACGAACTTTTAAATAAAAATAGTGTTAATGCTATGATAAATGATTGTCGGTAGAAATTTTTGTGAAAAAGAAAGGTTAATATTACGTTTAAAATTTAAGAGTTTTAATAAAGAATAACTACCAATTTTTTTTAATTATTATCTTAACTATTTCATATAAATTTTATTATTAACCTAATTGTTTATCACTAATATTTATTTAATTTTAATACTACTTTTTATTAATGTTTTGATGGATAATTATATTTTTATCAATTAAGTTATACGGCAATATATGAAATAATACTCATTTTAATTTCTTGTAAATTTTATATAAAAAAGTTGTTAAACAAATATAATATTTAATTCTGAAATATTAATTATTTTTCATATTAAAATTCGATCTTCAATATTAAATTTTGATTTTACCTAAATTAAATAGAAATATCTCTATTTTCTTAAATAATTATACCTAAATTAAATAGAGATTTTGCAGACCAAATATGTTAAAAACTTCTGTAAGTTTCGTAGTTGACTCAGAGTCAACAGTCAAGTAGTCAACCAAGTCTTAAAAATATTTATTTATTTTAATATATATATATATATATATATATATATATATATATTAATAAACAAAATACTCATTCGTTTAACAATTAATGATAATATATTAATAAAATTCTTAACAAAATTTTAATTTATCGATATTTTTTAATAAAAAAAATATTTATTAAATAGTTCCTCGCATTATTGAAACGGTCGTCAGAGACTTTTCAAACCAGATTTGTTTGGTCTGTAATCAATACCAGGTTGACGATTGACTTACAGTCAACTGTCTTTTTTTTCTTTTTCTTATTATTATTTTTTTTAATGAAATTTCTCAATAAATTTATTAAAGATATAATGCGATTATAAATTATAAATACTAGCTAAGTCACCATATGATAAAAATATTTTACGATATAAATATAAAGTTTAAGATTAAATTAATAGATGAAATATTTTATTTAATCTATTATTTTAAATTAGAGATTATAATTTTGTAACCATAGTCATAGTTATAGCTCGTGAATTACTATTTTAAACAATAGTTTATCATTGGACCTGAGAGTATGACCAGCCACATTGAGATTTAGACACGACCCAAACTCAGACTATTAAAGATATTTAGTAATAAATTATAGTTTACTATATATATCATATTTGATATTTTATTATAAGGTAAATATAGACAAATATATAGATATTTGTTTGATATATTTCTATTTTTTCATATCGTTGTAATTTATTTCATTATAAATAAGAGAACTTTCACACAATTTAAACAATCATTGTCACAGACTCTACAAACGGTCCATTAAATGGATGGTGCAAAGGCTAGAAATTTAAAACACATTGATTCCACTCATTTTCGTCCTTTGCTTCAAGGCTTATCGGTCGGTGTGATTCATACTCGATCTAAATAAAAAGAAATAAAAATTTATGAAATTTCTAGGAAATGAGTTTGACAAGACAATTCTTCCATCTTCCTTTATTTAAAGCAACGAAGCTCACCACCTCAGCCTCACAAGCAACAATTATGGCTTCCAACAACATAATATTCTTCCTCCTCTCTCTCCTTCTCCTACAGGTGGTTTCCGCCGTTGATTACACAGTCACCAGCAACGCCGGTGGTACTCCCGGCGGCGACCGCTTCGACACCCAAATTGGAGCGGATTACTGCCGTCAAACACTGATAGAAGCCAGTGGCTTTATCTGGAGCATTTTCCGTCAAAGCACCGACGCCGACCGGAAAAATGTGCAGAGTGTCAGCCTGTTGATCGACCGAGATTACAACGGAGTGGCGTTTGCTAGCGACAACCGAATTCACGTTAGTGCTAATTACATCGCCGGCATCAACGGGGACGTGAAGAGGGAGGTAACAGGTATAAAGCTACCCCTAATTGAACTCCCACCAAACATGAAAATTCATTAATTAAGAATTGAGAAACAGAAATGGGATCGGAATCGGAAGTTCAATTTCATTAACTTTTACCATGAAAATAATATAAAATATATTAATAATTAAGAAAAAAAATTATATATAATATATTGCATAACTAAACTTTATATCTTAAATAAAAAATTTCTTGATATATTTCAGGAGTATTGTACCATGAAATGGTGCATGTCTGGCAATGGGATGGAAACGGGGCGACGCCGGGGTGGCTGATTGAAGGGTTCGCCGATTACATACGACTGAAAGCGGGGTACATTCCGGGGCACTGGGTTCAGCCCGGAGGCGGGAGAAGTTGGGAGGAAGGGTACGACAAGACGGCGAGATTTCTGGACTATTTGGAGACGCGGCGGAGCGGGTTCGTGTCGGAGCTGAATCGGATGCTCAGAAATGGGTACTCTCCCGATTACTTTGTGCAGTTGCAGGGGAAGCCAGTGGCTCAGCTGTGGGCGGAGTACAAGGCGGCGTTTGGGAATTGAAGGATGTGGTGGTTGAGTATTAGAAATAAAGGGTAAGTTTTTAAATTGGAATAAAAAAGAATGGGTTTGTTACCCTTGTGTGGTAGTTTGTGTAATTTTTATTCTAGTCGCTACTAATGTCTCATGGTCCGTGTTTCAAACGAAATACTAGAATTAAAAAATAAAACAAATACAAAGAAAAATAATTTAAAACGATGAAATGCAAGAAAAATTAAGACTAGAAATCTAAATATGCATCTATCCTATGTCGTAGTCTGTATTTGCGATGACGTCGTCATTTATACATGAGCGTCTTGCCTTTACCTGAATAATGATGTGACACACAACTTTAGTAAATACTCAGTAAGTGACCCCACCATAGAAGTCATGCTAAATTCAATCGTATGCAATCATGTTTTAAGGACCTATCTTTATCTCATCTCCTATTAGCGGTGGCCTCCAATTTCGAACTATTATGGATGTGTAGTACTTTTCTACCTACGATCCACATGTGCAAGTGTGAATCTTCAGGGGGCTTGCACACCCCATGGACTCTCTCTGTCAAGCTAGTTGTCTGTAACGACGTCTAGAGGTTAGTGGAACCCCTGGTGTCATGCTCCCCATGATCATCGTGCTCATCATACTGTGAGCGTCCGCACTCATCATCTCTAAGGGAAGTATTCAATGTTTATGTACATACAACATGCATGAGGTCCCTCTAATTCTCATCTTAACATCTCTTCTGACATAACTCTCTAGTCTTATCTCTTTGTTACATTAAGTAACACATGGTCGTTTGATATTTATATTAATATCATTTCCATGCTCTTAAGGTTGTGTCCTAGATCGATCTCTCGACATAATGCAATATGACACTCATCATCATATAACATGCTTAATATGAAAAACATCAACATATTAAGATAAAAGTAATGCAATCATCATACTCATCATCATAATATCATTAAGTGCATCAAACATATCATGTACTTCATACATCAAAATATATAAATTATGCACATTATCATGCAGCTCAAACATCATAACTTATACATCATCATACATCGTAAATACAACGGTAACACATGCAATTTCTAGCCTATCTTAAAGGAAGGTCACTTACTTGGTTGACTTTGGTCGAAGTACTCCCGATGCTATTGAAAAAGTATAACAGCGACATTATTATTATTATTTGATATAAGTTTTGAAGAAAGAAAATGTTCAAAGGTGTTTGAAAAAGTCAACATGTTCAAAGGTGCTTGAAAATGTCAACACGTTTTTTTTTTTCTTCCATAAGCTCCGACAACACAATCAAAACAAAATTTAAAATATTGAAGAAAATTACAAAGACGTGCAAACAATATTTAATTTTAATTAATCATTTGTAATTAGTATTTAATTATTTTGCCGTACTCCGCCTTGCACTCCGCCCAAAGCTCGTCGGCCGTCGCGGCCATCAGCTCCACAAAGTAATCTTCGCTGTAACCATTTCTCATTTTCCGGTTAAGCTCCGCCACGAACCCACTCCCCAACCCCTCCAAATACTCCATAAACCTCGCCGTCACCCCTCCGCCGCCCTCATCCCACCTCTCACCATCTCCCGCCGCCGCTCACTCTCCTGGGACAAACCCGGATTTCAGCATCACGAATTCCGCCACCCCTTCGATAAGCCCGGCCGGCGCCTCACCGTTTCCAGTCCACTGCCACACTTTTCCCAGCTCCTGGTACAAAATTCCGGCGAATTCGCTCCTCAGGTCGCCGGATATTCAACGATGTAGTTTGCGGCGATGAATATGTCAGTGCCGGAAGTGTAGGAAACGACTTCGTTTTCGGCGTCGATGATGAGGCGGATTTTGTGGACAGTTTATGTCAGCGTTGACGTGTTTAAGAATGTTTGATTAATCCATTCAGAATGTTATCTTATTTATAATCAAATAAATTGGAAGATATAGAAATAATAATAAATGAAAATAAAAATAAATAGAAAAATATTGATAATAAGACAAATATCTAATATTTGTCTTATAATAAAATATAAAATATAATATATATGGTAAATTATAATTTATTCCTAAATATCCTTAACACCCCACCGCAAGTTAAGCGTCGAATTTAAACGAAC